TTTCAATTGTAAAATTATAAAACGTTTATTTATTCAGTTGTAACAGTAGTATAATCACTGGTAATATATATTTAATGATAACAGATGTATAATATTAGGCTTGAAGAAGTTATTAGTGTAAATGGTTATAGGTGACTTGAAATTGTTGTCATATGAAAGAAATAGATCTAGGCGTAATAAAATTATTTGTCGTTGAAATTGAAGAAATTTAGCTTGATGAACCGAAAACTTACTTGACAGAATTCAGTGTCAAGCAGTGTTGATGTCTATTATTTGACTTAACATTAGACACTTTAAAATAAAGCAAAGTATGAATTTTACTATTTATAGTAACAAATAAGAACAGTTTCAATTTTAAATGATCTTTTTTTTTTTTTTTTTTTGTTATCTTAAACATAATTGTGTTCATTTTTTATAGTTATCTTTGTCATCACTTGATTATTTTGCTAACTGCTGAAACATGGTTTTAATTTTGTAAATTTAATATGATGTGAAGTTTACAATATTAATCATTTGTCAACAGTTAGAGAGAAGCTGGAAATTAATTAAGAAATGCTGGAAATTAACTTTTAGTAAAGGTAAAAATAGTTTTGTTTATTGGTAGCATAATAAAACCAGTTACTTTTATTTATTGCATGACTTTTACTTTTTCTAACATGGTGTTTTTAAAACACTTCCTCTCTCTCTTAGATGAGACTTAAATAAGAATTAGTATTGAGAATTATAGAGAGAGAACTGATTAAACTCTGTAATTACTGAGCTCTGATTAAACTCTGTAATTACTAAGCTCTTGCGTATTTTTTAATACTGCAATTGATAATTTGCTATTTAAAGATATAATTCTTTAAATTGTCCCTTGGTTGTTCAAATATTGGAATAAATAAAATCTTTTTAGTTTCAAGTATTTTCTATAAGGGATCGTGTATATATTACGTAACGAAATTAAACATAGGCAAAAGAAATATCTCAAAAACCGTGTTTCTATCATGGTCAACTATATGCTGCATTTTCAAGAACTATAGCATTTAATAGTTTGTTTTTCAAAATTGATAAACATCTTATTCAAGGTATAGTAGGTAAAAATATGTATAATAAATATTGCTATATTTTTTAAAGTTCTTAATTTATAGTCTTTATGTTATTATTTTGTGTCAGTAATTAAAAACGTATTGCGTTAAACTTAGGAAGGTCGAAGAAAATGGTTCTGCCTTACACTGTTATGACCTATGCCATTTGTAAATTACTTAAATAATGTTAAGTAGCAATTGTAAATGTTAAGTAGTAGTTGGTAAATTATTTTACCTCATACTTTTAATGTTAATTTTACAGATGGATTAATTTTTTCAAGCAAAAGGCGATTTTCTAAAAAGGTATTAGCTAAGGTTTTGCAACATTTAATTGTGGAAGATAGCCACTATAAATTAATTATGTAACAGACGGACCAAAACCCGTATCACAGGTTGCTTTTTGCTAGTATAACATTAATAATCTAATACAAATGGTTATAAAAATGATATAATAGAACATTTTGAAGTATTTTATTAATTTCTTAAATTTTATTAATTTCTTAAAAGTTAATAAATGCTAATTTGATTTATAAAAATTGTTAAAGTTTTTATACAATATTTTGTATTTATAATACTATAAAGTATCCATGCAAATGTGTTTAAACTATTTTTAATAATATATGAATAAATTGTTATAAGTATATATATATATATATTTTTATTTTATATATATATATATATATATATATATATACATATATATATATATATATATATTATATATATATATATATATATATATATATATATATATATATATATATATATATATATATATATATATATATATATATGTATATATAAAGTATATATATATGTATTTAAAATATTATTAATAATATATGAATAGTATTATAAATACAATATTTTGTATTTATAATACTATAAAGTATCCATGCAAATGTATTTAAACTATTATTAATAATATATGAATAAATTGTTATAAGTATATATATTTATATATTTTTATTATATACCCAGCAAACACAGACTGGTTTAGAATTGGTCAATATTTAGTCAAAATTGGTCGTTAAATTGACAAAACGTTTAGCGATCAATTATTGACCTAAAATAGACGCTTGATTTTTGATCGGTATTTTAAATATTTTGGCATATACGTTTATTAAACGTCGATCAAACGTTTAGAATATCGACTTGCATTAGTCATTATCTAAACGTTGGATCGACGTTCAATAAACGTATATATTAAAATGACTTAAGAATAACACGACTTTTGAGTTTTTTGAGTTTTTTTTATTGAGTTTCACTCAATATAAATTAAACGGAAAAAAAATGTTTCATTAAACGGAATAAGAATATAAATATTGCTAAAATAATAATTTTTTAACTAATAATAATATTCTAACAATATATAATTTTTTTCCATTTAATGCAAATATTTATATAACATAGTAAGGACGATCGACCTTTTATATATTTTTTATTTGATGATGAAAGCGTCTATAAAAAAAAACCCTCTTATTTTATAGTTTGTGCATTTTTATACTTTTTGGCGGAAATAATTTTTTTTTAATGAAAAAAAAATTGTAACGTCAAACTCGCTTTTATATTGAGCAAACCATTAACAATTGCCAATGGTTTGGCATCACTTAAGATATAAAATTTTATGTTTTTTGAAATTTTTACACTTTTTACACGTGATACACTTCAAACCTTTATAGGTTTGAAATCTATCCTTTTAACTATTTAATATATAAGTTTATTTAACGTAGATCCAACATTTAGATATTGACTAATGTAAGTCGATATTATAAATTATAATATAATTTATAATAGCGACTTTTTGTTTGTTTTAATTTCTTTTAGTCTATAACAGACTATGAAACGGACACAAATTTACGTCGCTCTGACGTCAAACGTAAACAATCGAATTGGCAGTCCTGTTGAATGAGGTGCATTTCACAAAATAAGAGGAAATCCTTAAGGAATTTGTAATAGTTAAGGGGTGATGAAAAAAATAATTATGAGCACATGCCAAAAAATAGGATATATATACATCAATAAACAAATATAAAAAATATTTAAGTTATGCGAAGAAGTGTAAAGTTAGCAGTACAAAGGATAACAAGATTATATTACGTGAATAAATGGTTATTAAAGAAATGGGAAAGTTTGACCATGAGAAAAAGTGGATATATTTTTTAACAGTGCTAAATTTTTGTCATGCTTATTTTTATAGAAACATACATGCTGTTCGATGTGACTATAAGTTATAGACTATATAAGCTACAAACCCTGAACCCTATGACTATATAAGCTACAAACCCTGAACAGCATGTTTGTTTATAAGCATGGTGAAAATTTAGCGTTATTAAAAAATAGGCCAACTTTTTCTCATGATACAAATTATTGTAAGTATAATTATTATTTATAAGTAAAAGTATCATTTTTTATGTAATAGCATAACATAACAAATTATTTATTATTGTTTAAAATATTTTACTAAAATGTTTAATAAGTAGAGTGAAACGGGGTAAAACTAACACTTATATTTATAATTATATTTTTTTTATATAATTAAATGATTTTTTTAAATAATTTTTGTTTAATTTTTGTTGAAAAAGATGTGCTCTATCCAAATATGTTAAAAAAAAAAAAATCTCTTAAAGTTTTTTAGTAAAATAAGTTTATTTGAAAAAAAAAAGTGTTCAGTTTTACAATTATGATAAAACTGAACATGCCAAAGACTTTGGCAAAGTATTGATAATTAATTACTATTTTAATTTTTTTTTAAATTGATTTAGATCTGTATAAGAAGTTGTTAAAAGTAAGTTATAGCAAAGATTTGTACAGGAAATTGTTAGCTTTTTAAAATAAAAGATGTTTGAAAAATATTACCATTCAGTTTTATCTGAAAATATGACTTTTTCAGTGATTCAGTTATAGCTGTTTTTAGAAAATAACAATTTTATTTCTGAAAAAAGATTCTTGATTGTAACTTTTACTACAAATACATCTTCTTACTTTAATGTTATTTCCTTTTTTTTCTCCAAGATTTTAATGACAGTATTAAAATAAAATTAAAAAAAATTAATACTCATGTTCAAACTTTTGAGTTTGCTACAAAAATTATTAATTGAAATTTTTTAATTTTTATGTCATTAGATAAAGCACAAAATTCTCTATAATTAATAACATTTTCATAAGTGTTCAATTTTCTCTGGTGTTCAGTTTTACCCTATTTTACTCTATCTTCTTTAGTAAAGAGGTTATTTACTAATTAAAAATTATATATAATTTACCGATTTTCTAGTCGTTATTTATTATTTATATTTATTCCTGCTACCAATGAGATAACATTGGTTGAGTATTTTTAATATGTAAACTATTTGAAAATATATTACTTATTAAATATATTGATTTTTAAATATGCAATGTAATACAATTGATTATATATATATATATATATATATATATATATATATATATATATATATATATATATATATATATATATATATATATACACACACATATATATATACATATATATGTATATATATATACATATATATGTATATATATACATATATATGTATATATATACATATATATGTATATATATACATATATAATATATATGTATATGTATACATATATATGTATATATATATATACATATATATGTATATATATATATACATATATATGTATATATATATACATATATATGTATATATATACATATATATGTATATATAAATATACATATATATGTATATATATATATACATATAATGTATATATATATATATATACATATATTTTATGTATATATATATACATATATATGTATATATATACATATATGTATATATATATATATATGTATATATATATACATATATATGTATATATATACATATATATGTATATATACATATATATGTATATATATACATATATATATATATATATATATGTTTTTTGTTTTGTTAATCTTCTCTTTAGTTTATTGTTTCAACACATTTTGAATGTACCTACTAAGCAAGTAGTACTTGCCTAAAAAAAATTAAATGTTTTATTGTGTTACTTTTAAATTAGGTATACAGTGCATTTTATTGATAGAAAATGACTTCAGAGTACCAAAGAAAATATCGAAAGGTGGTAAAGGAAATGGGGAGTTTTTCAAATGCTGAAGAAGTTGTGAAACAAGATAATATTGAGATGTTACGTGATATTGACTATAATGAGGATGATTTTGAAACTAATAACCTGAGTTCAGTTACTAGTAGCTCGGAAAGTGAAGGTGATGTAGGATCAGATAGTAGCAATGAAGAAAGTTTGAGAAACGATTTGGCTGATTTGGCAGTTACAAGTAAAATGACGCATGTTCAAGTGAACGGAGTGCTTAGTGTCTTGCGGAAGCATGGTTTTGATGTTCCAAAGGACAGTCGAACTCTTGTAAAAAGCACAAGAACAATAGTTACATACAAAAAATGTGGTGGTGACTATTTGTATTTTGGGCTTCGAAAAATCATCACACAATCTTTAGAAATAGATGACAGTAATGAAATTCTGAACTTGAAAGTAAATGTGGATGGTATACCTTTGTACAAATCATCTAGCTTACAGTTTTGGCCAATATTGTGTTCGATAAATAATTCTACTCCTATGATTGCCGCTCTTTTTAGTGGAAATTCTAAACCAAACTCTGTAGATGATTTTTTGCAAGATTTTATTTATGAGGTTAAGGAACTCCAAGAGTATGGATTTAGTTATAATGAAAAAACTTATACCCTTTTATTGCAGGCATTTATATGTGATTCACCGGCTAGAGCTTTTTTAAAAAATATTAAAGGTCATAACAGTTTGCATGGGTGTGAACGATGTTGTGCAGTTGGATTGTCAGTTAATCATCGTACAATATTTGTTAACCCAGGTTGTTTTAATGCAGAAAGACGCACTGAAGATAAATTCTTCAACTTGGCATATATTAATAGTCACCAACATGGTCCAACACCATTAGTACAAATAACAAATAACTGTTTAGGCATTTTTTCTCTGGACTACATGCATTTAGTTTGTTTGGGTGTGGTTAGACGAATGCTTCAATTTTTGAAAAAAGGAGATAGAGTAGTAAGATTATGTAGCCGTCAAATTTTAAATATATCTGAAAACCTCCTTGAATTAAGAAAGTACATCCCTAGTGAGTTTGCGAGGCGTCCTCGGGGACTGATTGAATTGGATAGGTGGAAGGCTACAGAATTCCGCCAATTCTTGTTATATACAGGTCAAGTTACATTAAAAAGCATATTAAAATCAGATTTGTACAAACATTTTTTAACATTGTCTGTTGCTGTTACTATTTTGCTTTCACCTGATAAAGATAAACGAGTTCAATATCTTGAGTATGCACAAAAACTATTAGAACATTATGTTCGACACTGTCAAAAGTTTTATGGAGATAATTTTGTTGTGTATAATGTTCATAATTTACTCCACCTAGCAGATGACGTACGCTTTTTTAATTTATCGCTTGATGAAATTAGTGCTTTTTCATTTGAGAATTTTCTCCAAACACTAAAAAAGTATGTTCGGACACCAAAAAACCCACTTGTCCAAGTTGCTAAGAGGATTGAAGAATCTGAAAATATTGAACATATTCGAAAAGGTAATATTAAGTTAAAACAAAGAGAATGGAGGCTATCAACACTTCCTAGAGACTCAATAGTGTTGCTTAAAAATAACACTTATGCTCAGATTATAGAAGTTAGAACAAATGGATATTTTTGCTGCCTTTTTGACTGTTCCTATCTACAACCTTTTTTTATAGAACCATGTTCTTCAGCACTTGTAGGTATCTACTATTCAGAAAACCGCCATAAACATACCAAAACAAAACTGGTGACTAATGAGGATATTGCAAAAAAGGGGCTTAAACTGCCATGTGAAGATGGATATGTCCTTATGCCGTTTCTGCACTGTAACGAGTAGTTGTAAATTGTAGATAAAATAAATATTTATTAATTTTCCATTGGTTTTTATTGATATTCTAATAATTTTTTTTATGCTCTTTATGCTATAGTATTATTGTATGGTATTTTTTTTGTGTCAAGTTTCAAAGTTTAGTTTTCTATGGTTATAATTTAATATATAAGATGATAATTTTAATATAAAATTTTAGAAGATATCATTTTATTTTCCAGGTTAGATATAAATAAAGTTTACACTTTTGTAAAATATAGATTTCGGTTAAAAGACGCTTTAATGCAAAATTTATACACATAATTATCAGGTAAAAATTATATATACATATATATATATATATATATATATGTTTGAGGCAGAAAAATTGCAGACCTAAAATACAACCATATATATATATATATATATATATATATATATATATATATATATATATATATATATATATATATATATATATATATATATATATATATATATATATATATATATATACATATATACATATATATATATATATATATATATATATATATATATATATATATATATATATATATATATATATATATATATATATATATATATATATATATATATATATATATATATATATATATATATATGGTTGTATTTTAGGTCTGCAATTTTTCTGCCTCAAACACCTGAAAGTCAGCAGTTAGGTTGGCATTGCCGAATGCCAACCCTACTTCGGAGGATTGTATGTATATATATATATATATATATATATATATATATATATATATATATATATATATATATATATATATATATATATATATATATATATATATATATATATATATATTTATATTTATATATATATATATATATATATATATTCATATATATATATATACACATATAATGTAATATATTCAGGCATAATATAAATATTACATACTTTTAGCCTAATGTTATGGATACGAGCAGTCTGGAAGGAAAAATCAAGAGACGAAGAAGGGACTTTGCCAAGCAATTGGGTAGAAGAAAAATTTGTTAGATGGCCTCCAAAAAATGTTAGGCATTTATATGAGCAGAGAGTTGAGCCTCAATCCAACTAGTTCAAATTTGAATTAGTGAAAATAAAATTCTGTTCAGGTATGGTGTTTCAAAAAAATTTAAAAAGTTGACTTTTTTGATGGCTTTTTTATTTAATACAAAGTATATAGTCATTAAAATAAATAGTATAAACATATATATATATATATATATATATATATATATATATATATATATATATATATATATATATATATATATATATATATATATACATCATATATATATATATATATATATATATATATATATATATATATATATATATATATATATATATATATATATATATATACATATATATATATATATACATATATCTTTATCCATACGGCTTTTTTAAAAAAAGTAGAAAAAGAATGATGAATGAAACGATTGCTGCCCCATCCCAAACCCTCAGTCGATGTAGCAGCACTCCACTGCGAGTCAGGCTATTTTTCCGTCGATGTATGTACTGAAGCCCCCAGCAGCAGGCTATTTCAGTATGACGTCAAATTGCTTACCTTAGTATGCAATACTATTTGTACATATATATAATAATATATAAATGTATAATAATGTATATAAATAATATATATATATATATATATATATATATATATATATATATATATATATATTATATATATATATATATATATATATATATATATATATATATATATATTTATATATATATATAATAATAATAATAATAATAATGTATATAAATAATATATACATATATATATATATATATATATTATTTATATATATTATATATATATATATATGTATGTATATATATATATATATATATATATATATATATATATATATATATATATATATATATATATATATATATATATAAATTATTTGTTCAAACAAATAGCGCACAACTGTATTTTGAGTATTACATTTCCAGATAGCTTTCAGGAATGTGAAAATTTTGAATATACAACATCAACAGACATTGATGAACCTCTTGTGGAGAAACAAATAAAAAAAAGAAAGCTACCGACAAACTTTGTAGAAAATTCAGATGGTAAGGTGAAATTGTTTGATAATTTAAAATAACCGGACAGTGATTTTAAATTATTTATATTTTTATTTATTTATTATATTATTTAAATTATTTATATTTAAAATTTAATACACAAAACATTTAATAAGACTTAATACTAGTATAATGATGATAAGAGTGGAGTTATTGTGGTTTACAAGTTCTTAAAGGGATCTCCAAATACTCCTGACATCTTATTTAAAATTAAAAAGCAAGGGATATATATATATATATATATATATATATATATATATATATATATATATATATTTATACTTATATATATATATATATATATATATATATATATATATATATAAGTATATATATATTAATAAATTGTAATAATAAATTCATACTAACAAAAAATATTTGCCAATATCACTTTAAAACTACGCTGTTTTAAATGTAACTGTAATCGTAAATATTTCATATCAAAACTCAATTATTTATATAAATGGCAAGCTTTAACAACTTCTGAATATCTACTAACATTTTTATTTATTGTTTAGAAAGTAAAAATTTGTTAGAAAAAATAGTAATAAAATTTAAATGTAGTAATAGTTTAATTAGAACTTATGGAAATCTTAAAATTTAGTGCAATTTCTAAAAAATATTTATTAAACTGAAGGAAAGTTTGTGGTCTTTATATACACGAAATATAGTATAATAATAATCTTGACAATATCAAAAAACTAATTTTTGTTTTCTAGTTTAGAATTATCTTAGTTTATAATTTATAATCATTTTTGAAAACAAATTCATTAATATATACACTTTTATTATGTTTTAGCGAGAATTATAAGTTTTTTAATATGAAATCATATTTTAATAGTGCTTAGGGATCCCTTTCATAAAAAAGTCTTTGTTTTAAAACGCTTTTTATTCATTCTTTAAAATGCTTAGTATCACTTTTTCATATTTTAGATAGTGATGACAACAATTATCCACACGATTCCAATGGTGAGGTTTTATATCTGATTAAGAATGTTTTGTTTTAGCTTTTACAATTTTAATAGTCTATTGAATAAGTGATGTCAATCTTTTTGTCATTACCATTAAAGAAATAATAATTAGTTTTAGTTTGTTGTGTTGTCAAAATGAAAGTCCTTTGCAACAGTTTACTCAAAAGTTATATTTTGTTGTTGTTTTAGAAGAGTTGTCCAAGTTCCCCACTCCTCCAAAAGCGCTCAGCGAACTAAGTTCACGTTTACATTGTAGACAAATTAAATCTACCACTAATTCAGTCTGTCAAAGTTTTCTTGCTCATCCAAAGCTTACATCAAGCATTAAAACCTCTCAGTCACAACTACCTTCAACAATACATAACCTAGTTGTATCCAAAAAACCTAGCCAATCATGTTTTCTGTTAGCTGCATCAAACATACCAATCAGGTCAACACCAAAATCTACCCAGTCACGTCTGCCAATTCCAGTCACGTCAACACCATCAAACCAACTGATAAGGTCAATACCCAAGTCCGTCCGCACCGTCAGATCATTAAAAACAGTAGCTAGTGATTCTTCTACAGTGAAATCAAGAAATAGTGCATCCAATGAAGTAAGTAAAAGCACCGATCCATTAAATGCAAGTAAGTAAAAAATTATTTTTAAATATGGATTAAAATAATGTTTTAATGTAATAAATAAAATTGTATTGAACTATATATTGTAATTATTTGCATAGATCGAATTTTATTAACTTATATTTTCAAGATATGATGCTTTTAATAGCTTAACTGAATTTCAGAATTCCAGAAGTCAGTTCTCTTCAAACTGTCACAACTCACCATAGAAATCTTGGAAGTTAAAAAGCTCCTTGAGCGACAATCGATGCCAGCTGCTTTACTAAGTGCTAACAACTCAATGGACTCTTTGGAAATTAGTGATGGCCCCATTGACACAGTTGAACAATACAAGTCGTTGGCTTTTCGTTGTGAAAGTCCTGCTGCAAGTACTCTTTTGGTAAGTTTTATAAACTTATAATGATTGTATAAAAATAGCTATTCGACTTTGCCATAATCAAGAATTGACTTTAATTTTTTTAATTTTAGTTACATTTGCTAAAGAAAATTGGTGGATCAGATCTGGGAAAGACTACTGCGTATATTATGTCGCGACTTTTTACAAATTCTTTGATGTCACAAATGAACATGGATGGTCGAGGAAATTTGGGGAAAGTTCCATTCAGAAGATCCTCTATATGTAAAGTTGTTGTTGGTAATTCCAATGTTGATTTTTTAATGTTTTTTTTTTTTTTTTAATGTTGAACACATATTTTAAATGCAAATTATTATAACCCAGTTTTTTTGCTGTTATAAAAATAGACTATTTATAGTCTATTTTCAGACTGGTTTGGTTGCTTATATATTCTGAGGGTAAAAAGTTTTATAATGGATTTATTATTAACTTCGTTAATTTTTTTTTTAGATTCTATAATGTACAATTTCCCCAATATGTCTGTAGCTCAAGCACATAATGCTATAGCCGCATATTTAAAACAGGCCTCATGGCGGATAGGAGGACCAAAAAAAAACATCT